ATCAGTTCTGAAGAAGGGTCGCAGGACTAAAACCGTTGACTGCTTTCTCTCCACAGATCTGTTGAGCTTCTCCAGAAATTTCTGTTTTTGGGTGATGATCTGTGACCCTGGTTCAAATCCTACCATAGCAAATTTGGAATTGAGTCTAATGATGACTATGGAACCATTGTTGGGGAAAACCCATCTAGTTCATTACGGAAGGAAATATCAACCATCCTTACCTGGTCTGGCCTACATGTGACTCCAATCTCACTGCAATATGGCTGACTCTTAACTGCCATCTGGGCTGTTAGGGAGAGGCAATAAATGCTGGCCTAGCCAATGAATTTAATTTAAAAGCAATCGGATGCCAATTGTAAAAGTGAAGTTTTACTTTGGTGTACAAATGAACATCAAGAAGGGTCCCGAGCCGAAACGTCAACTTTCCTGCTCCTCTGCTGCTGCCTGGCCTGCTGTGTTCCTCCAGCTCCACATTTTGCTATCTCTGACTCCAGCATCTGCAGTTCTTGCTATCTCATTCCCTCTGAGTGGCCAGCTTTCCAAGCTTTGGGATTCCTCATTGCTTTGCCATCACTTGTTATTTCCCTGCATCCCAAAAAAAGTTCCAGTTGCTAGCTTCTTGTTTTTACCCGCATGCGGAAAATCCTAGCATTGCTTCCTTCTTCCCGGAGTGGAAATCCCCTTTAACAGATTATCTGCTGATGTTCCAAGCAGATTTTCCCATGAACTGGATTATAATTTGTCAGTTTGCTTCAGCACATTGTTCTCTCACGTCCAAGCCAGACAGGCCAAATGTTTTTTCAAAAAATTCATTCACATGATGAGTGTATCATTGGCTAAGCCGGCATTCATTGCCCCTCCCTAATTGCCAAAAGGGCAGTTAAGAGTCAGCCACCTCGCTGTGGGTCTGGAGTCACATGTAGGCCAGACCAGGTAAGGATGGCAGTTTCCTTCCCTAAAGGACATTAGTGAACCAGATGGGTTTTTCCAACAATTAGCAATGGATTCATAGACATCATTAGACTTTTAATGCAGATTTTTATTGAATTCAAATTCCATCATCTACTGTGGTGGAATTTGAACCCTAACTGGGGTTTAAGTCCCATTTGTGGTGTACAATATCCAGAGACACATTGGGTCAGTGCTACATGATCTGAGCTATGGTCTTTCAGAATATATTTATATTCTTCCGTGAGATATGGGCGTCGCAAACAAGACCAGCATTTGTTTCCCATCTCTAAATGCCCTGGAGAAGGTGGTATTAAGGCTGCCTTCTTGAACCGCTACAGTCCATGTGATGTAGGAACGCGCACAGCGCTATTAGGGACAGTGTTCCCACAATTTTGACCCAGTGACACTGAAGGAATGATGATATATTTCCAAGTCAGGATGGTGATGGGTTTGGAGGGGAACTTGCAGGGGGGTGAATAGAATAGAATAGAATAGAATATCCTTTACTGTCATGTATACACCATTGTAGAAATACAGTGAAAAGCTTTTACAATGCCTACCTCTTAATGGTGCCATCTTAGGTACCAATCTTGGATACAAAACAGCAACAAAAGTGGTTGCATTACTTTACAGAGTTTAAAAAATAAGTTAGAAATAAGATGTCGAAAAAGGATTGATATTACAGTCAGGTAAAAAAATTCAAATAAACATTACATTCCCACGTAATTGCTGCCCTTGTCCTTCCAGATGGAAGTGGTTATGTCTTGGAGAAGATACACACTACTGCTTCAGTGCCTTGATGGTTGAAGGAGTTAATGTTGAAGGTGGTAGATGGGCTGCCAGTCAAGAAGACCTGTTTTGTCCTGGATTGTGTCAGGCTTATTGAGTGTTGTTGGTGCTGCACCAAGCCAGGCAAGTGGGGAGTATTCCATCCCGCTCCTGACTTGTGCCTTGTCAATGGCCTTATTGAATTAGATGCGTTATTTGCTGCAGAATTCTTACATTCTGATCAGCTCCACAGCATTCATGTTTAAATTAACTGGGGGCTCTATCTCTTCTGTTAAGGATCCTATGGCCACTCTTGTAAGACTACAGGATCACAAGATGTAGCAGCAAAAGTAGGCCATTCAGCCCATCAAATCTGCTCAGCTATACAAAGAGATTGTGGCTGATCAGATAATCAGCTCCACTTTGCCTTTTCCCCATTATCCTCAATTTCCCTTCCTGATTAAAAATCAATCTTGGCCTTGAATAACTCAACAGCCCTCTGCAACAAAGAATTCTATAGATTCACTCCCCTCTGAGAAAAGAAATTCCTCCTCATTCTATCTTAAATGTGCAACTCCTTATTGTGAGATGATGCCCTCTGGCCCTAGACTCTCCCACAAGGGGAAACAACCTCTCTGCATCTACACTGACAAGCCCCCTAAGAATCTTGTTTGTTTTGATAAGGTTACTTCTCATCCTTCTAAATTCCAATGGGTTCAGGTTCTACCTATTCAACCTCTCCTCATAAGACAGTCTCTCCATATGAGGTATCAGCCTGCATCGGAAGTCACAAGACATCAGGTTATAGTCCAATAGGATTATTTGAAATCACAAGCTTTCGTAGCACTGCTCCTTCGTCAGGTCCTCTGAAAGCTTGTGATTTCAAATAAACCTGTTGGACTATAAACCGGTGTCATGACACTTCTGACCTTGTCCACCCCAGTCCAACACCGGCACCTCCACATCATGGTATCAGCCTAGTGAACCTTCTTTGGACTGCCTCCAATGCCAGTATATATTTCCTTAGGTAAAGAGCCCAAAACTGTTCACAGTATTCCAGCTGTGGGCAGACTAGTGCCTTATTTCATTTTTGCAAACTTTCCCTACTTTTATACTCCATTCCCTCTGAAATCAAAGCCAAAATCCCATTTTCCTCCTCTATTACCTGCCAAACTTGGGTGATTCATGTATGAGGACTCCAAAGTCCCCATCTCAAAGTTTTCCAGTCTTTCCCCATTTAATTAATATTCAGCTCCTCTGCTCTTCCTGCTGATCTCACGTTTTGTTATATTATAGTCGCATCTGCCAAGTTTTTGCCCATTCCCATACCTATCTATATCCCTCTGCACACTCTTTGTATCATCCTCAGCACTTGATTTGCCACCTATTTTTGTGTTTCCTTGGCTACAGTATATTCACTTTCCTCATGCAAGTCATTAATATTTAATGTAAATATTCGTGGCCCCAGCGCTGATCCCTGTGGCACTCCACTAGTTACAAGTTGCCATCCTAAAAAGTTGCCATCCTTTTCTGAAGAAGGGTCTAGACCCGAAATGTCAGCTTTCCTGCTCCTCTGATGCTGCTTGGCCTGCTGTGTTCATCTAGCTCTACACCTTATTATATCCTAAAAATGCGTCCCTTTTCTAACTCTCTGTTTTCTACTAGTTAACTAATCCTCTTTCCATGCCAATACATGACCTCCAACACCATGGGCTCTTATTAAGTGACCTACTGTGTGGTACCTTATCAGACTCCTTCTGAAAATCAAATATATTGTATCCACTGTTTCCCTTTTATCTATCCTGCTTGTTTCCTCCTCAAGGAATTCTAGTAAATTTATCAGGCGTGATTTCCCCTTTGTGAAGTCATGCTGTCTCTGTTTTATCATGTTATGTATTTCAAAATGCTAAATATTATAATTTCTAATTTCTAAAGTTTGAAGGAGAACAGGGGTGTCCTCCTCAGTTTCAGATGCTGTCACTTTAAAAGGTTATTTTGTCCTTTTTTTTGTGAAGAGAGATTGTAAGGCAGACGTTTTGAGTTGGCTAGTGCAGACCACATGAGCAAACAGCTTGGGAGGCCTTGGGTTTTTTCAATGAATGGGTGTGGCCAGCTCCCACAGATCCAGATTTCCGGATTATGGTTTTTCCACTGGCATCAGATGCCAAAGGGGGCTCAACAAAGTTGGAAACTTCAGTGAATGTTTCTTGCTTGGTACACTCTCTTCATTTTTCATCTTTCTGGATTGGAGAACTGCATGTGAGGATCTCTGTCTGAATTTTCCTTCTTTTGCCAAGGGGTGTGTTTATGGGATGTTACTATATTGCAACAGTTAATTAGTAATTGTTACTGTATCTATTATTCTGTTGAGTTTTCCAATAGAGTTGTTATTCTAAATTTCTCTTACTTTGGTTGCATTTTAACTACAGTGTTTAAATAAATTGCTTAAAGCTTAAAGCTTAAGCTTTGCTTAACGTCAAGCAGTTTGACCAGTCACATTGCATCTGGAACAGACACCTTATATTTGCCTCTAAAATAAGAAATGTTAGGGCCTAGGCTACCTTCTTAAAATATTTTGAGGGCGTCTAGTCTGGTCTATAACACTGACAAATATTTATCTCGCAACCAACATCACGAAAAAAGAACGTGTTTCTTCAATTTACCACATTACTGTTTGTGGGAGCATGCTGTGCAGAAATTGGTTGCTGTGTTTCCTGAATTATGACTGTGACTATGCTTCAAAAGTGCTTCTTTGATTAGTCAAAGTGCTCACATAAAATTTAACTCTTTCAAATGGATTTCAGGATATCAGGGGCACACAGAATTAAGTCTTGGTAAGATCCTCACCTCTGAGCCTTATGCTTGTGGGTTCAAATCCCATTCTAGTGATTTAAGCTTGGAACCCAGAAAAACATGAGTGGCACAGTGTTTCAGTAGTTAGCGCTGCTACCTCATGGCGCCAGGGACCTAGGTTTGATTCCACCCTCGGGCAACTGTCCGTGTGGAGTTTGCACATTCTCCCCGTGTCTGCGTGGGTTTCCTCCAGGTGCTCCAGTTTCCTCCCACAGTCCAGAGATGTACAGATTAGAGTGGATGGCCATGCTAAACTGCCCATAGTGTCCTGGAATGTGTACGTTAGGTGGATTAGCCACGGGGAATGCAGGGTTACAGGGATGCAGTGGGTCTGGGAGGGATGCTGTTTGGAGGGTCGGTGTAGATTCGATGGGCCGAATGGCCTTATTCCACACTGTAGGGATTCTATGATTGTAATATTTCACCAGGTGCAAATTCGGAGAGTGCCAATGATGACCCCAGAGCTATCCTTTCCTACATTGTCCCCATTACCATCCCAAGACAAAGGAGAGGACAAATTTGAGAGAGGAAGATTAAACTAAGAGGTTAACTGACACTAATATATTTCTGCCAAATCATTTATGAAAATACACAGGATGAACCCACTGTGGTTGGATCATCACTGGATACAACTGTACTGCCAGTTTTTTATTTCCTTGTCAGTTATCAGAAGAGGGAAATTCCAGCTGGGAATTATGCCAAGTAAATCGAACAATACATCGGATCTTACAGGAATCAGAGACAGCAGGACTATTCGCAAACAAAGAGGTAACCTTTTCAAAAAAAAACAAACCACACCCTGTCCTAAACAGTTACTATGCTATTAATCGAAATGTCATCGAGGTAAATATGCCTGGAGGCTGGTCCGTGTGTTTTCCAAGTCGCCTGGTTGGAGAGCTGTGACTGTTTTCAAGTTGTTTAAAAGAATCATAAAATGCCTACAGTGTGGAAGTGGGCCATTCGGCCCATCTAGTCCACACCACCCCTCCAGACAGCTTCCCACCCAGACTCACATCCCTACCCTAACCCTGTAACCCTGCATTTCCAATGGATAACCCACTTATCCTCCACATCCTGGACACTACAGGCAATTTCCCATGGCCAATCCACCTACCCTGCACACCTTTGGACTGTAGGAGGAAACTGGAGCACCTGGAGGAAACCCACACAGACACGGAGGGAGAATGTTCAAACTCCATACAGAGAGAGAGGAGGTATCTGACAACAATCAAGAAGCTCACTATCACCCAGGATGAAGCCACCCATTCAATCAGGACCCCATCCACCACCCCTCAACATCTAATCCCTCTCTCCACTGTTGACGCTCAGTAGCAGCAGTGTGTACCATCTACAAGATACACTGCAGCAATTCCTCAAGGCTCCTTCGACACCACCTTCCAAACTCACACCACTTCCATCTGGAAGGATAAGGGCAACAGGTATACCATCCCCCTGCAAGTTCCCCTCCAAGCCATTCACCATCCTGACTCGGAAATATGTCGTCATTCCTTCAGGGTCACTGGGTCAAAATCCTGGAATTCCCTCCCTACCGACACTGTGGGTGGGTCCCTGTACCTTAAGGACTGCAGTGGTTTAGGAAGGCAGCTCACCACCACTTTCTCTGGGGGAATTACCGATGGGGTATTAAATGCTGACTCAGCCAGTGACACCCTCTTCCTGTTCATTAATAAAAAGACTCTTTCTTCTTCACCAAGCATTGACCTGCTCTGAACGGTACTTATAATTTAATATAGTTAAATGATAGTTATAATTATAATTCCTGTTGGTAAAGATATGGACTCTCCCCTTTCTCCCTGTCTCAACGATTAATCCTTTCCCAACACTTCACCTCCTTGCAGAAGACTTTGTATTTACATATCACCATAAATGTCCTCAGGACATTACAAGATACTTTACAATGAATGAAGTAGTGAAAGCCATTGTTGTTATGTAGGAAAATGCAGCGGCCAGTTAGCGTATAGAAAGCTCCCACCAGTTTAATAATCATTTATTTGAATGTGAAGGGATAAACTTTGGCCAGGAGATTGAGAAGGACATATTGTCTGAAGCGGTGGGCATAGGATCTTTTACACCCACCTGCGACTTGGCCTCAGTGTAGCACACACCCTCCCTATGGCACCGAGGAGGCCTAAAACCACTCACACCTACCAGCCTCTCATTTACCCCACCACTACCTGGGATGGGATCATTACCTTAAGAGGAAAGGTTGGGTCAGCTGGGCCTGTATCCATTGGGAGGTTAGAAGAACGAAAAGTAATCTTAATGGAACAAGCAAATTCCAAAGGAGACTTGACGGGATGATTCTGAAGAAGGGTCTAGACCCAAAACATCAGCTTTCCTGCTCCTCTGATGCTGCTTGGCCTGCTGTGTTCATCCAGCTCTACACCTTGTTATCCCTTGACAGGATGATTGTTTTCCCTTGTATGAGAGACGAGAAATAAAGGACACAGTTTAAAAATAAAAGGTCACCCATTTAAGATGGCGGTGAGGAGATTTTTTTTCCTCAAGTCTTTGGAATTGTCTTTGTGACAGAGAGCCGTGGAGGCGGGGATTATTGAATCAGGGAATCAAGGGAAGAGGGGGAGTTTGTATAATGTAATGGTTCTGAGAGGATTAATATTCATGTTAAATTAGCTCCACCCATTCTACTGATTGCACACATACTTGTTTATTCATTCACAAGATGAGGGCATCACTAGCTAGGCCAGCGTTTATTGCCCATATGTAATTGGATGATGAAGGAAAGCTTGTGATTTCAAATAAACTGTTGGACTATAACCTGGTGTCGTGTGACTTCCTCCTAACAGCTCACTTTCTCTGTCCCAGGCAACGTCCTGGTAAACCTGAGACAACAAAGTGCAGGGCTGGATGAACAGAGCAGGCCAAGCAGCATCATAGGAGCAGAAAGGCTGACGTTTCGGGCCTAGACGCTTCACAACAAAGTGCAGGGCTGGATGAACACAGCAGGCCAAGCAGCATCATAGGAGCAGAAAGGCTGACGTTTCGGGCCTAGACCCTTCATCAGAAATGGGGGAGGGGAAGGGGGCTCCGAAACAAATAGGGAGAGAGGGGGAGGCGGATAGGTGGAGAGGAAACAGACAGGTCGAAGAGGCGGGGATGGAGCCAGTAAAGGTGAGTGTAGGTGGGGAGTTAGGGAGGGGATAGGTCAGTCCAGGGAGGACGGACAGGTCAAGGGGGCGGGATGAGTATAGTAGGTAGGAGATGGGGGTACGGCTTGAGGTGGGAGGAGGGGATAGGTGGGAGGAAGAACAGGTTAGGGAGGCGGGGCGAGCTGGACTGGTTTTGGGATGCGGTAGGGGGAGCGGAGATTTTGAAGCTTGTGAAATCCACATTGATACCATTGGGCTGCAGGGTTCCCAAGCGGAATATGAGTTGCTGTTCCTGCAACCTTCGGGTGGCATCGTTGTGGCACTGCAGGAGGCCCAGGATGGACATGTCGTCTGAGGAATGGGAGGGGGAGTTGAAATGGTTCGCGACTGGGAGGTGCAGTTGTTTATTGCGAACCGAGCGTAGGTGTTCTGCAAAGCGGTCCCCGAGCCTCCGCTTGGTTTTCCCGATGTAGAGAAGGCCACAACGGGTACAGCGGATGCAGTATACCACATTGGCAGATGTACAGGTGAACATCTGCTTGATGTGGAAAGTCTTCTTGGGGCCTGGGATGGGGATGAGGGAGGAGGTATGGGGGCAGGTGTAGCACTTCCTGCGGTTGCAGGGAAAAGTGCTGGGTGTGGTGGGGCTGGAGGGGAGTGTGGAGCGGACAAGTGAGTCACGGAGAGAGTGGTCCCTCCGGAAAGCAGATAAGGGTGGGGAGGGAAAGATGTCTTTGGTGGTGGGGTCGGATTGCAGATGGCAGAAGTGTCGGAGGATGATGCGTTGGATCCGGAGGTTGGTGGGGTGGTATGTGAGGACGAGGGGGATTCTTTTTTCGTTCTTATTGCGGGGACGGGGTGTGAGGGATGAGTTGCGGGAAATGTGGGAGACACGGTTGAGGGTGTTCTCGACCACTGAGGGGGGGAAGTTGCGGTCCTTGAAAAACGAGGACAACTGAGATGTACGGGAGTGGAATGCCTCATCCTGGGAGCAGATGTGGTGGAAGTGAAGGAGTTGGGAACAGGGGATGGCATTTTTGCAGGAAGGTGGGTGGGAGGAGGTGTATTCTAGGTAGCTGTGGGAGTCGGTGAGCTTGAAATGGATATCAGTTTCCAGGTGGTTGCCCAAGATGGAGACAGAGAGGTCCAGGAAGGAGAGAGAGGTATTAGAGATGGTCCAGGTGAACTTAAGGTTGGGGTGGAAGGTGTTGGTGAAGTGGATGAACTGTTCGAGCTCCTCGTGGGAGCACGAGGCGGCGCCGATACAGTCATCAATGTAACGGAGGAAGAGGTGGGGTTTAGGGCCGGTGTAGGTACGGAAGGGGGATTGTTCCACATAACCTACAAAGAGGCAGGCGTAGCTTGGGCCCATGCAGGTACCCATGGCCACCCCCTTTGTCTGTAGGAAGTGGGAGGAATTGAAAGAGAAGTTATTGAGGGTGAGGACGAGTTTGGCTAAGCGGATGAGGGTGTCAGTGGAGGGGGACTGGTTGGGCCTGCGGGACAGGAAGAAGCGGAGGGCCTTTAGGCCATCTGTATGGGGAATGCAGGTGTATAGGGACTGGACGTCCATGGTAAAGATGAGGTGTTGGGGACCGAGGAATTGGAAGTTCTGGAGGAGGTGGAGGGCGTGGATGGTGTCACGGACATAGGTGGGGAGTTCCTGGACCAAGGGGGAGAAAATGGAGTCTAGATAGTTGGAGATCAGTTCGGTGGGGCAGGAGCAGGTGGAGACAATGGGTCGACCAGGGCATTCAGGTTTGTGGATTTTGGGAAGGAGATAGAAGCAGGCGATGCGGGGTTGGGGAACGATGAGGTTGGAGGTTGGCAGCGCTGACGGTAGGCGCGACTTCAGTGTCTGTGACGTTGGTCTCGGAAATGGAGGCGGTGGCATCGGCAGCGATGGCGTTCGCTGTCCCGGAAGTGGGGTACCCGGTGGTGGCAGATGTGACGTCATCTGTGGGTTCTCCGATAGTGGCCTCATGGCCAATGGCGGCGGGCACATTGTGGGGAAGGTCCTGGGTAGGGTTGGGGATTTGGGAGGTGGAGGAAGCCCGTTTGGTGGTAGGCACCAGTGAATTTACTGTACTTAACGGTTTTTAGTGTCCAATAAAGCTGAGTAGAATTGTGAGTTCAGGTTGTGGATCCTACGAAGAATAAAAAACAGGAGAGGTCCTTTGCAGGTCTGGGAGAGGGAGGCTTTGAGCTGGGGTAGGCTTGATTGTAGTGCCAGGAGACGCCGCCGCATTGCTGCGAGTGTGTGTTTCAGGAGTCGCAGGAAGAAACGCTTCTGAAGGATCTCAATGCTATGAATGTAGATATTGTCACGGTTGGGGCGAAATTGGGAAGGCCTGAATGTGGACTGTCGTACATTGGGGATGATCTGGTTCCGTAGGCAGGTACTAAGAAAAGTGATGTGGCTGTAGTACCTGGTTTGTTTCAGGACATGGTCGAGCAGTTTCAAGGCCGAAGAGATTACGAGAGAGTTGTAGTGGGAGAGAGATCCCCTGAGGTTTGTCCGGAGGGAGGAGGGTAAC